TCGATAAACTTGTAATTAAATTATACAAGATAAAATACATGTCTAATGCATGTATTGTATGATCAGCGATCAGCCATTCGTTACCTATTTTAATTAACCCTTTGACTGCCAATATATTGGAAAACGCTTTACCTTTGACTGCCAAGAATCGGCCCGGCGTCGTACGTTTTTAAACAGCGCCATGGCAACCTTTACAACAATTGATAACGTCACGCTATTGTGCATGGTACCTGCATAGGATTGCTCGTTTTGATGACACCACACAGCTGTCTGCTTTGTTGATTTATCGCTCTCAAATTTATATATTTAGGCTGTAGGTTGATAAAATAATATAAAAAAATTACTGTACTAAAAGGTGAAATATATAGGTCAAGTGAAATACCTTTCTAATGAGTCATAAAAACAGAGTAGGTTTGTACGAATAACAAATTTTTACTAAAAGTACTTGACGACAAACTTTTCTGTTGGGTCTTAAAAATGCATAACTTCAAAAAAAAAGTTTTTGTGTTTGTTATCTACGGTAATCATTCTTCAACCTCGGAATATTTTTAGTCTGCCCTTCCACGAAATACTCAATTAGAATTTTTTAAAATATTTTTGAACTTTCGAAAATTCCCCCTGACAACCGATCAGACAATAATTTTTTTAAAGTTGAACAAATGCATAAAAGTACATTAAATGATGCTCTAAAGCTAGTAGATACATTTGTCTTTTAAAATACAACTGGCATATAAGGATCGTATTGATATTATGTGGATAAATTTATCGGTTTTCAAGAGCTAAATTGACAGGGCGTCATCACTACAATGGCTTCCATTTTTACGATTATAAAAATTAGGTGGCGTAATGGGGAGATAATTTTGACGAAGTAGAATCCTGACTGAAAGGACATTAAAACAAAAATGTTTTTTTCGTGGTGAATTTATAAATATTAAAAAATATCTGCCGCCGAAATATAATGCGAATTGTGAAAGAAGGTACATTTTTAATTTGTGTAAATGTTTAAAATCTCTCGTAAATGTGTACCACATACTGAGGCACTTTGGACAATAAAAGACACCAGACAAATGTAATTATATAATACAATATTAACAATTTCTGATTAACATTCGTGCCTCTGAAGGCAAGCTGCATGTAGTCCTCTGGTACAGTGCACACAAGAGGTTCTTGATCTTTTTCTTATATTTCGCTTTCTGTCGGAACAAACGACACAATCTCGTTCTTTTCGACCGTCAAGTTTTTTCACTCTTGCTTGCCGATTCACGTTACCATGTCTGTGTGTCAAATGAGCGGACGCTAAACTTTCTATTACCGATTGGCTGAACTGAAGTCGGGACATAACCGGTAATGAGGTGTTATGACTGTATAGAATATACGCGTTTAACATAATGCGGTGAAATATGTGATATATAATTTTTTTCCATACTTTACTGCATTTCCTGTGATCATTATATGCGCCAATCAATTGGTCGCTAAGGTCGACACAGCCCATAAATGTATTATACGCGCCTATGATCCTAGGTTTACCGTTTAGTGTATCAATAGCATTGTAGTAAGTAGACACCAATGTGACGGGTTTTTTTCTGTTGTGGTCGCGGAAACGGCAAAGCATTATTTGTCTTTGTTTAGCGTAAACAGCATTCCCTGCCTGCGGACGTGCATTTTTTATCATCTGTGGCATAGGTCTATTAGTTCTCATTGTGCCTGTGAGATACGTACGTTCTCTCAATAATTTGTTAGCTGAATTAAGTGAAGCAAAAAAGCTATCGGCGAAAACATCAAAGCCTTTCCCAAGAAGATGCGAATTCTTCATTAAATTTATTACTACATTTGTTCCTTGTAATGTTCCAGCAGGAGTGGGATCGAAACGTTTCCCGTGATATACATCCATCTGTAAAACATACCCGGTGACGGACTCGACCAACATCCAGAATTTAACGCCAAACCTTGAACGTTTACTTGGTATATACTGTAACATACTTGTCTTTCCTTTTGTACCAACAAGGGATTCATCTACAGCAAGTTCTCTGCGGGGATTATAATACCGTAAAAAGTTCCTGTTAACGAAATCAAGTAACGGTTTGAACCTTTGAGATGGTTTGTAAGCTGGATCATTACGCTTAGGGAGTTTTTGGTGTCCACCAGGTGCAAAAATTTTAACATGTTTTGGAATCGGTTTCGACTAAACATACAACGGAACCAGGGTGTAGACTGTGATGGACTGTGCTTATTCCAATATTCTTGAAATGATACTTTCCTAATTAAGCCCATGTTATAAAAAACGGCAAGGAATCCCTTAAACTCAGGTATGGTTAGTTTACCCTCCATCTGCCACTGCATTTTTCTCGAAAATCGACTGGTTTGGCGAATGGTTTCATTACAAAGATTCTTTGCATATCTACAAAAAAATTCAAAAATAATCATATACATTTATTATATAAAGTCGTAGAATCTTTTATGTAAATATCTATTTTTTTAAGGGAACGACCATATTACTTTATAAATGTATATTTTTTGGTGGTGGTGATTAAGTGGGGTTATTTTTATTTTCTTCATTTGTTTTTGTATTTGGTGATTTGTTGATGTCTTCGTGCCAGTAACTTATATCCGTTCTTTTTAATGTTTTGTTTTCGTATACTGCCCGAATAACCGTTTCTTTTGAGTTACACGTGCTTTTGTGATATTTTATATCCTGTCATTGGGGCGCTTCCTCTGTATCTGAGCAAGCTGCAACGCAACCACAGAAAAACATAATGTTCATTACTCTTTATTTAGCTGAACGAACAAACAGTCGTGTTAGGCTGTCTTTCTATTATCTTGACCGGTCTACACATACCATTTCAGCAGGTGGATATAAAAGTGTTCAAAAAATTTCTAAATTATGTTTTAGAAAGAACAATGTCATAAAATGAAACAACTTGTAATCACAAAGACTTAAATTGTATGACTTTGTTGATTATTTTATTGACTGTGTCATTAACATTTCAACGGCGCGTTGGTTCTATATTGATGGTAAAAAATTGCAATATGGCTATGAAAGATACGTCTAGTAACTATAAACTAACTCAGAAAAGATTATTTAACCAACCTGTTTGTTTGTTTGACAAACTCTTTGATAAGGTCAATAGAAAACAGCAAATAAAAGTAAGCTATTGGCGCGGCATCTCTGGGCGGCATATTAATGGGTCCAGTGGGTGCTCTATTAAACAGTGGGTCATTCATTGGCTCTGGTGGGAGAACCCGGAACCATGGATTAGGTTCAATTGCAGCCATGTTTCCTTCAGCGCTGCTCAGAGTCTATGACGTCAAGATTACGTCATTGATGCTGCACATCGGCCAAAGCCGATGCCTGGCAGTCAAAGGTACATTATTAAAATCGGCGCGTTTTTTTTGTTGTTGTGTGTATGAGGGATGCCCCCTTTTGGCACGTGATATTCCAGGTACATGGAAAAAAGAGTATTCTGTACTCAAAGGAATGGTACACAGTATTCAGAAATTAACGTGTTGGTACTCGATACTCCGCAATCATAATTGTTTCTGTTTATGCCCCCACCCACCGGAGGCGGCATTAAGTGACTCTTAAGTGTTACCTTTGACCACCCGTCCGTCCGACCTGGTTTTGGTTTCCGCGCTTAAAACCGAAGTAAAAAGTCGAAGACGATTATGAAAAGTTTATAGAGGGATAAATGCAATAAAAAAATATAACTTAAAAAATAATTCCTTCATGTCATGCTCTATGCTCATTTTAACATGGGTAGTCATTATATATGTCTATATCTTACACTGAGCGTTATGTCGATTCTAATAGGGCAAATACAGTATTTTTATAGGTCGAAGCGCACGAAAATACCTTAAAAATGTTTGGCTGTTCTCGTTTCCTCCCAATGGAGTCTGTACATTACATTTTCATATTTAATTACTTTAAAAACTAAAAGCAGGGTAAATATGTGTTGTTTGATAAACAATACATAATAAAAATTTATGTAAGCTGCTAAAATATATATACTTTATTAGAATAACAATGAAAATAACGAAAATATAAACAGTAAATTTGTGCGCAGGTGTCAAACATATTTTGTGCTAATTATTAGAACACGGCTTTGTTTCCAAGGCGTAACAAGGACGTGATATTAGAATGATAAATGATTTATGCTCTTTAAGTCCATCATTGGTCCATATGCACATCAACAAAATAAAAGAAAGTTTTTCGCCGCAATGGACCATCCTCATTATCCTTGTATATTATAAAAAAAACAATTGTTTGCAATTACATGAATTAGCTTGAGAGGCCATTCCTATACGATTTTCCTAACTAATATTTACTTTATGACTGCGCATGCGTGCCATATAAATCTTACATAATTGCCAAAATCGTTCAAAAACACCTGCGTATTTCTTGATATGTGCGAATAACATTGGAAATAGGGTAAAGAGGAATATCAACAGTTCGAACATTACAAACAGCGTTTAGCATCTATTTAGACAAGTAATAGGTAAAGGCACACGAAATTTACAGAAAAAATTGCAAAAACGGCGAAAATGTGTCCACGGCGAATATGCGCCACCCACTCTAATTGCTTTTTTTTCTTTCACGGGAGGGGAGATTCAACGGCATGGAAGTTCTGGCATGTATAGATGTGCCATTTGACTTTGGTTAATTTTCAAAATTGTTGCTGCTACTGTGGCAATGTCAAGAACGGGGTGACATCCTCCGCTATTACTTGCAATAGCAATTCTAGTTTTTTCTTCCATTTTTTTTTTGTCCAGATTATATCTCGGAATTACATGAACCAATGTGTAAGGGAACTATACCATCATGTTAACCAGCATGTCCAGATTTACAATCGGGATATGGCATTTCCAAGATGGTTGCCGTTTCTATGGAAACAGCAAAAATGTTCAAAACAAAACGGGAAAATTTGCGTTCATTGTTATGAGAGTTATCTCCCTTACACCAGACAATTATTTTCAAGATGTCGAAAGATATTCCGCTTCGTCGGAAAAATGGTCAATTCGGTGGAAAAGTATTGAATGCTTCTCATCAAAATATAACAAAAAGTGTAGTAATTGTAAATGAAATGTCTTGTCCGAGTGAAACATTGCTGCCCTCTCAAGAAAATGAAAGTAATTTGGCATGGCGTGATGGTCGAAGAGTGGTTGAGTTGGGTTTACTAGCTGACCAACTTAAAGCTTGCAAGAACTGCTATGCACCATTGTTTCTACACAACTGTTTAAAAGAACAAAGATACGGTATCGGAAGTATTTTGTATATACCTTGTGGCAGCTGTCCCTTCACAAACTTAATAAACACTGATAAACGGCACAGATCAGAGACTTCAAAAAAGGGAATGTTGATATGGGACGTGAATACAAAATGTAGTATGGGTAAGAATATTACAAACACTTGCATATACACACAATAACAAATTAAAGCTCACACTATAACGTTGACTTTTTTATTTTCATTTTATTTATTGAAATTCCATAGCAAATAGCCTATAGTCGAAGACTTACACTTACAGTTGCATACAAAGAAATAAATTCGCTTCTCAAAACAACTGTCAACACTAAGAGATATTCAACTTCGACAAAAAAGAGGAAATACACTTGTATATGCTTAATGATATTCTTGATTTGATATTCGTGTTAGATAATCACTTTCTCACATAAATATAAACATTTTGATGTTTATCCAAAAAAAAAACCCGTTTGTTTACAGTGCTTTCTTTCACGTCCGCAATATGGTCTATAAATAGAAGTGGAAAGTGCTAGTACCGAGTGTGAAAAATAAAGGATTAAAACAAATAATTTTTAATAAAAATATTGAACAAGAGTTTTAAATTGCTGCGTGACATGAAATTTGCGAAAGGTATTGTCGGAAATTACTTCAGAAGGGTAAGCAAGAGAAAAGGAAAGAAAATTGAATGCGAATCGAAATCGGGATGGGACCTTGTGCACGGACAAACGGGAAGTAAAATGGTCTTTCAAAATGAACGAAAAATTATAAAAAAAAAGTTTACACGTTGCTTTTTAGTCAATATGAAAGGAACATTGTGAATAATGAGTTTCAAGCGTGAAAATACGCGAAGGAAAAATTAAAAATACGCTACACGAAAATTACCCTCAGCTTTACTGCCGCTTCAAAACGAAAATGATTAGCAAAGTTCAAATAGTATACTGAAAATTCAGAAATTTGTGCGTGCATTAATTAATTTATTTTGAAATGGGCAAAATTGTGTCACTAGTTATTGCGATTTCAGTAAAAACTGTATACAAATGTTGCAATTAGAATTTAGAATTAGAGGTTTTATTTTTGCGATACGTATTTCTGAAGTACGAAAATTTTATTAAAATGTTTTTCCAATAAACTTAAATTTTATTACATAAATCGGATATTTATGAAACAAATTTCTTTGTTTAGCCTATTTAAATGCAGGAATGTGTCCACACCAGACAGTCAATTTCCTTGCTGACATTAACATCCCCCCAATAGCAGTTAAGAATTTAAAGATAAGAGAAAGAGAAATCGGCAAAACCATAGAAAAGTGTGCTGAAATGTCTTGTCAGAAAGCTCTACAAGAAGAAATAGATTTAAGCAGGTAAGTCAAAATTTTATATTTATAAAAAAATAAGATGTGGTATGATTGCCATGCAATGAGACAACTCTCCACAAGAGACTTAATGACAAAGAAATTAACAACTATTTGACCGTACGGCCTTCAATAATGAGCAAAACCCATATCGCATAGTCGGCTTTAAAAGGCCCCGATATACTGTAAAACAATTCAAACGAGAAAAACTTACGGCCTGATTTATGTACAAAAAAAAAGACGAAAAACAAATATGATAATCAACAAACGACAACCACTGAATTACAGGCTCCTGACTTGGGACAGGCACATACAGAAGGTGACGGGGTTAAACAAGTTTGAAGGCGCTAACCCTACCCATAACTTGGGATAGTGATGCATCTAGTTAGTAATTAACCAACTTTTAGAATATGTATTTCTGAAAAAATAAATCATTGCAAATGGTGCACATCTAAAATTAAATCTTGTAGTGTCAATGGGTTCAGTATTATGAAAAAATCAAACGAAATTCAGGCATCTCCTAACAGTCAATAATATATATAATGGATAATAATATATTTTTAGAGATGAAGATGATCATTTAAATGGACCTTCAATAACAGTTTCTTTTGATGGTGCTTGGCAGAAAAGAGGAAGTGGAAGAAGCTACAGTAGCTTGACAGGTATACCTATATGCACTGGAAAACGATAAATAGCCGTGAAAGAATCTGATAAAATAAAAGATTTGTTTATTGATTTTTAATAAAGAAATACACATATATACACAAAAATTAAAATATGAATAAACTAAAGGATATGTATAGTAGAGGTAAACAAGACTACAACCTATTACATGTAGGTGTCATCGTGTGTGTTTATTTGAAAAAAAAGCCTGCTCCATTCACTCCTACTGTATCAAGGTCCGGAGATTGTCCAAAAAAATTGTCAAAAAATAAAGGTTGCTAAAACAGAGCACACTCCTCACCCCGAAAAGAACGTTTCTTATTTGGTTAGTGATTTTTTATGCCCCGCCGCTAGGGGAAGGGGGCATTAAGTGTTACCCTTGACCATCCTTCCGTCCGTCCCATTTTTGTTTCCACAATCTTACTTAAATTTTTCTCATCCAAATTTTATAAAACTAATCTTCAATGTTAAAAACCACAGTTTGCAGACATACAGGGTTCAAATTTGGACAGTGAGTCGCTTACCGTTCAAAAATTATGCCCCCTATTAACTTGGAAAATTGCAAATGTTTTCGTTTCTCCACTCTTTCTAAAGTTTGCCTCATGTGAATTTTATGAAACTCAAACACAATGCTGAGAACCACACCACGTAAACAGAGTTCGAATTTGGGTATTGAGACATTTACCGTTTTAGAATTATGATCTTTTTAACTGGGAAAATTGCAAAGCTTGGGCGGGGGCATTTGTGCCCTCAGACAAATTCTTCTTTTTATTTTTGATATATTTTATTGAAATTTTCAAAATGAATGACGTTATAAATTCATATCGGTTTTAAATTAATCTTATAATTATATTGGTATAGGTCATGCTACAATGATAGGTGAAAAAAATGGAAAATGTGTGAGTCAAGGAACTAAATCATCAGACTGCAGAAAATGTATGTATGTGGATGAAAAGGGAGATGGAAATCACGATTGTAGGAAAAATCATACTGGAAGCGCAAAGTCGATTGAGTCAAACTTAGCCATTAAAATGGTGCAGGAGCTGCAGTGCAAAGGCTGCAAAGTTTCTTGTATAATAATGAATGACGATACAACTACTCTGACTAGATTAAAACAAAGCATTAATTCTGACATTGTTAAAAGATCAGACAGAAATCACCAAAGAAAAAATATTGTTAGTGACTTATACTACTTACATGAAAAACACAAGGGTAAGTTGTCCACCAGTACTATCAGCTACTTGACAAAAGATTTAGACTATGCAATAGCCCAAAACAAGAGCCGTGCAGAACAATTGAGTCAAAATATTAGATCAATCATTCCCCATTCGTTTGGTGACCACTCTACATGTGATTTATCGTGGTGTAACTACCATAAAGATCCGGATAATTACAAACATAAAAGTCTTCCATATGGCAAAGATTTAAACGGACAGGAAATGTTTGCCGATTTGTCAAAATTGTTCAATACTTACGCAAAGAATTCAGATAAATTAGCTAACTGTGGCAGCTCACAAGAAAACGAATCATTAAATCAAATCATCTCGTCAAAGGCACCAAATCCCTTCCTTTCAGAGTATGCGTGGGAGTAATTCAGAAAAACGAAGGTCGTTCCTATATACCAAAAGTATATGGAGCTCACAAATTGTCACATGGAAAATTTACATTAATGCATACGGCAAAAATAGACAAAAAGCGCACACATGACAAAGTAAATGCAAGTACCCGTGAGGCTAAGAGAAAAAGACTTGTCAAAAAGGGAAAATTCAACCTGAATCTAAAGGCCAAAGAAATACGAGAAGGCGTAACATATGCTTCATCTATATCTGCACCAGCAAAATCGTGTGAGAATACCGATGATATTTCACACATTCCTGACCCTAAACCAGAAGTAACGGAAGTTCCCGTGTCTTTGAAAGACGAAATATTTGTTTACTTTGACCTTGAAACTACAGGGTTCGGTAAGAAATTAAAAGATTTTTTGTTGGCTTTCTTTTATTATATTGCCAATAGAATCGTTATCTCTTGGCTACATGTTATTTTCTTATTTATTAAGAATTTACACCGACAGACCTTCTTTGATTTGAATCCAAGGGGACTAATCGGAAGTTTTGATAAACAAAACCAGGCGAGACCAGGTTGTTGAAGTAACATGTAGGCACATGTTTTAGAAATGCATTAAAAAATATTTTATAGTGTCATTCAAAAAGGGACAAAAGACGACTTCGAGTAAAATGTGTTGCGTTTTTATAGGACCTGAGTATATTACCAGAAATCTTTATAGTATTACAGTATATGAAGTTTCTTTATGTTTTTTTTTTATATCTCAATACTTAGGAGTTTGAATATAGGAAAATATCACATGTCTTTAACAATTATGCATAAATATATGCACCACTGAACGTTTAATAAACATTATCTCATCAATAAATCAATTCAAATTATAACTAAGATTATATATATAGTTACAGTATTTAAAAAAAGAAATTGATAACACCGAATGAATAGAAAAATTAACTGAAATATCGGAATTCAGAGGACACTGCAAAATAAAAAAAAAACCGCTTCACAACCGGAATCGCTATCATGTATCACGGGAAACAACAAATTGTTTTGTTCTGTATGGGAATGTATGCGTTTCATATTTTTCCAGTATTTATATCAAAGATATTTTGAATTGTTTTCTTTTCAGGTACTGATTGTGATATTATACAAATAGCTGCAGCATATGACAACCAAAATTATAATCGATATATGGTACCCGTTCAGCTTATTTCGCCATCTGCTTCTAAAGTAACCGGGTTTTCAAAAAGTGGTTTAATTTTATATAAAAAACGGGGAAATAATGCAGACGGATGAAGAAAGTGAGATTTTTAAACAGTTTATTTCTTGGCTTCCCAAAAAATGCATTTTGATTGGTCACAATTCAAAAATTTTTGATTCCAGAATTTTTGACAAAGGCTTTACAAAATAAAAATATCATGAAAGATTTTGAATTGAAATGCGGTGGATTTATAGACACCTCATCATTGACGAAAGAACTGCTACCAGACAGAAAGACAAATAAGCAGTCATACAACCAGGAATCACTTGGCATAAATTATGATGCACACAATACCATGGGCGATGTGCAATCCCTGCAACAGCTTATCAACACGCTAAAAGTCTCTCCAAGAGTTCTGGAAAAACACATCTTTTCTGTTCAGTACACAGTAACCATGATCATGAAGCTGCAGCTAACAAAATCTAGACTGGATACATTTAGCAACATGCCGTCTACTGTCTGTTCAAATTCAATGTTGAACAAAATTGCAAGATCTGGTTTGCGGTTAAACCATCTTATCCTTGCAGGAAAAAGAGGAGGTGTTGATGGTGTACGCGAATTGCTCACCGAACAGTTTGACGGGAAGCCCCGAGTTACAAAAGACCAGAAGATACTGGACTCGATTTCAAAATACATTATGTCATTAAAAAACTAGTAAAACATTGTTTGAACGCTTACACATTTGTATTGTATTACATGTTTAGTTTCTCGACGAAACACAAAACAATTTTAAAATATTTGCATCAATTTACAATCCTCACTTAAGAATAATGGAACAAAACCACGGATAGGAGAAAAGAGTAAGCATAATATGCATCAAACTTCAAAATATCTTTTTTGTTGGGTTTTACCTATAAATTACGTTTATCTAACATCCCATTTTATCATATTAAACACATCATTTAATTTACGACGAAATTTTAAATCAGTACTATTGGGCTCGATGTATGTGTTTATTTTTTGTGTTGCGTTCACGTGCCATTGAAAACATAATTATAAATATATATATATTATATGACCTTCTACATCTACATCGTACGACGACCCATCAGCACATTGATGACTATACAATTATTCTGCAACGATCAGGTAAAAAAAAATGTTTACTGTTGTGTTTTGTTTACTACTGTTTGTCTTTTGGCCGTTTTTACGTTTTTTTTCCATGGCATTGTCAGTTTGTTTTCGGCTTTGGTATATTTCGCTTCCCTTATTGTTCAGCAGCAAATATTTCATGCATTTTCGGGTCGAAAATGTAAACAATGAATGTATATCGTCATTCGGAGAATTTAATTTTTATGACAGACCTTTGATTGTTTCTGCTAAGTTTGTTTATAACTTTTACAGACTACAATTTAGAGCTTGATATAAAACATATACACAGTCCATTGTTTAATCATTTAATCATTTAATGATTGAGCTGTTGTGCATTGACGTAAACCCCACACTGATTGAAGAAATAAGTTATACATGCCTAGGGTCTCATATAATCCGTAAAAAAAATGATAATCGGTAAGTAATATTTTTTTTTCAGACAGGATAATTATTTTATAGGCGCTATAGCGCATTAGTTTAGAGGAACAACTTATAATCAAAGAGACACCTGGATGAAGCGGTCGTTGTCTTTATGTGACAATATTTCTATGTTGGTAGACGACGATTCTGCTGATGGAGACTTGACGTTGCGTAATCCTTTTCGGCGACGTCATGCAATTTCTATCTTTTCCCGTCGGCAACACCCTTTCAACGGCTGATATATAAAAAGGGAGTTCGGTAACCATAGAAAAATTATATATCAATAGAAAGGAAAATTCTATCATAAAAACATTTAATTTTTATAGAAAAATCGCAGGAATGGTTTTAACTGCAGATTAAATTAAGCTTGAAATTTTTCATTTTTGGCGTAAATTTGACGTTATGTCTATGTACTTTATAGTGTTTTCCTAACATTTTCAAATGACTGTTACTTTGAAAGTAGATCGGTTACGCACTTAAATTTTTCGATTTTTCTTTGTATTTTTAAAAGTTCTACGTGTATACAATTTCTTTAAAAAATCGCTGGACAAGCCATTTACGTACCTGTTACCTTTTTAAAACAATATTAATTAGCATGTGTAGTGGCGCTTTTTGACTTTGGAATTTTCAAAATGGCTGCCGTTTCCCTGGCAATAGAGGGACAAGGTGCCATCCGTTATTGCTAGCAATTACAGATCTAGTTCAAATTTGCTATTCTAGCAGGGAACATGTAGTAGGGGGCAGAGGGCCTCTCTACTTCACATGCATGACTAATCATATTAATAGCACCGGTCAAACTTGGAATTAAATGGCCTTGCAACGACATGAGCAAATATAGTATGAGATGAAAATAATGATCAAAATATGAGAAATATCTTTTTACCTGTTCTGAGCATATTATACTGTCCCCAAACGGATAGTCAATATAAAATATACTTTGAAATAACGTTCCTACTCTCATTCAAATAATTTTAAGAAATTAACATTTCAAAAGAAAATGCCTAAGGAACTTCAATGAAATAGCTATGCAAATCCATCTTTGATCAACTATGCTCTGAGGGAGTTGGAACTTTATGTTCTTAATAACTTCTTCATTTAGTGACACTATACAAATCCTTGTCCTGATTAATATTTTCTTTTTCTCCAACTTTGTTATGTTTTACTAAAAAAAAAAACGTACCATTGAGGTACATTTTCCGGAATTTGCCGAATGAAGTCGAACTGTCATGCGATAACGTTACAGAAAAGCATGCGATAATAACCGGAAGCAGTTGATAACAAAAGTCATATCACACGGCTAAGGCAATTCTTCAAATTTAATGAATAAATATATGTACAAATAAGTTTTATCATGGGTACAATTATACCATTATTTTCTATAAGTATATGATAAATTTAAATGTTACTATACTCGATATCGAATAAATAATCATGGCTATAGTACATATCATCTGAAATCAACAGGAATTTATTGGAAATTCAAGGAATGATAGAACCGTCTTGCTTAAAAACAAGTATGGTGTCTTTGTAGTATTTGTAAATACCATTGATCGTCATTTTGTAACCTATGAGCATTTCCAATGAATTCGAATTCTTTTTTATTTAAGAAAAGCACCAATGTAATTACTAAAATAAGAAACGGAACCGATACGTTTTTTTCTGTTTCTTATAATAGCATCACCCCTGCACTGATTATATGGAGTAAGACTAAGGGGAAAAAGAAGTATTACATTTTCCCAGCTTTAGGTTGGCCTTTTAAATACCCAAGGCAGGCGAAGGAAGTCAACTCTGGAGCGTTAGGATTAGATGCAAGGGTATACTATTTTTTTTAAATTTATTTATACAAACCTAGAAATTCCATTAAACAAATTAAGAAATTTATAATATCATAGTTTCGATTTAGAATTAAGAAATTTAATTGAACAAATAAAAAAAAATATATCATTTCACAAATTGAGACATATAGAATTTCATGTAACGAACGAAGAGAATACGTTAATATATTAATGTCATACAGGTGAGAGGTTTAGCGCTATAAAACCAGGTTCAATCCACCATTTTCTACATAAGAAAATGCCTGTACCAAGTCAGGAATATGACAGTTTAGTTAGATGTGTTTGTCCTTTTGATTTTGACATTTGATTAGGGACTTTCCGTTTTGAATTTTCCTCGAAGTTCAGTATTTTTGTGATTTAACTTTTTTTTAAATATATGTTACAAATAAAGAAATACTTTTTACGAATTAGGAAATAACATTTTACAGATTAAGAAATTGCTTTTTACAAATAAAGAAATGTTTAACTGTGTTGGATATTCCTTTCCATACTAGATCGGTACCTTATGTCTTTAGTGTTTATTTAAAGTTGTATCAATGCCTCGTGCAAATCTGCTGAGTTAGTCTTTCCAATTAATTGTTTCAGACTGTCACATCACTGTAGAGCTTAGGTTGTAGAGTGGTGCGTTCATAAACATGTTTAACCTCTCACCATTCTTTATGTGATTGTCCAACATCAAGAGCTAGTTATTCAGTGGTTGTAATTGATTGCTGTCTTTAGTATTTGTTTTTCGTTTATTTGTATGTCCTACATTAAGGCAACAGTAGTTTATTGATTTTTAAATTGAAAAAAAAATAGATTAAGAAACCAACCAAATCAGGTACCTAACAAAAACTGAGGCATTCACATGTAACTCCAAGAGTGGAGAGATCGGATGCGTCGGCATTGGTAAAAGTCTTTTGTTGTACATGCATCACCCGCTATCATAAAACAGGTCGTTGGTTTTACCGTTCAATGCTTTCATATTTTGACTTGTAAGTATCTTTTAAAGCTTACTATTTGATACGGGATTTTCCTGATTGTTGAAGGTATAATGGTGACCTATAGTTGCTAACACAAAACTTAATGGCTAAACAAAGAAAAAGAAGGAAACATTTTTTTTTTTTAATTTTAGTCGTTGAACATGTTGAAAGGAAGACTTTGTTCAATGAATTCTTAAAATAAAGAAGACGTAATTTGGTAATCATGCGTATCGACTTCCTCATACAGAGGTTATTTTACTTTGCTATATTACGTACCGACTTTAAATAAAACTGTTATCCGTAGGTATAACTTTTTTTTTTTTAACTTTTGATTTTTTTAATTCCAACAAATACAACATATACATGACATACATACAATATAATACAATAAGAATATATACAATGTCATTAATATAAATACATCTAAATTGGAAATATTTTACATTTTCTATTGAAAAGATAAAAAAATAAAAAATAGAAAAATTAATAAATAAATAAATAAATAAATAAATAATGATAATTAACAGATTGGAGTTAAGAGTAAAGAAGAAGGGGGAAAAAAAAGAAGAAAAAAAAGAATTATCCAGTTACATCCCTATCTATATTTTAAATATCAAATATTTATGTTGAAAAATATTTGCAAAATTAACTAGACATATTTCTTTCGTAACAGCCATCAACACAGATCAAGTACATAACATGACAATAATATTCTCTTTAAAATAGATTATAATTAAATAGTCATGAGTTATTGTAACAAAAATAGACATTAGCTGGTATTCAATAAAAGTTTTTCAAAAACATTCCATACATTGTCTAATTCAGTTATCTTTTTATTTTTTACAGCTATCATACTCTCTAATTTATACATATCTTTCAGCTTTATTATAGCTGCTTGCAATGAGAGATTCTTTTTAAAGCATCTAGAATTATACACATATTGTTTTATATAAAGAAAAATCATGTTGTATGGGTTGTTGGGGAATATCTTGGATAAGTCTCCAAAAAGAAAGTTTAATTTATTCATTGAGAGACTTATTCCACCAGAAAGGAATCAGTTATCAATATCCTGTAGAAAATTTTGTACAGTATTGCAATTCCAAAATAGGTGTTCTATAGACTCGTTCTCTGATTTACAAAATGTACATAAAGGATCATCGATCAATTTTATTTTAACTAAATACTGATTTGTTGCAATAATGCAATGGTTAATCCTATATTGCAACCACTGTAGTTAACTATTTTTTGTAACAGCAAAAGGCAGTCTGAAAATCTTTTTCCAGTTCAGATTCTGTTCACCTAAAATTTTAACCCACTTAAGCTGTCCAGTAGGAGTAACATTATTTCTTGTCAGTACAGAATACATATCTTTTGATCCTTTACAATGTTTTAAAAATACTTGCAGACATGATGGTATAAAAGGACAAAATAATTTGTAAGATCCTTTAGTGTAAGATTTTGATGCCTCTTTCACTGCCGAAATAACACTGTTAAATTTAAGAAAATCTGTGTTAATGTTAAAGTTTTCCTTAAATTGGTCAAATGAAATATACGATCCATCTTGGTCAACTATATCATTTACAAATCTAACACCACTTTTGAACCATTCTTGATAAATTACTGATTTATGACCAATCTTAATATTATTATTTAGCCATAGTGGATTTGATAAAAAATGAATCATAAGTCAAGTTTCTTTCTTTTTGAATAATCATTTCCCAGGATCTTAGTACATCTTTCCAAAAATGGTTGTTAACTCTCATATAAAGTTGTCTAATATAATCAACACCACAACTAAACAACTTTCTTTTATCTATATTTGACATGAAAATATTTTGCCATTTACTATCTCTCTGCAAAATCCTTCTAATCCATGTTGATTTAAGGGCTGCAATGAACATATTCAAATCAAGCATTTTCAAACCTCCCTCCAACTAATCTTTGATTAGGATATCTTTCTTAACTCTATGTATAGGTGAGTTCCATATGTATGTATAAATAAGTTCATTTATTCTCTTAACAATATCATCTGAAGGATTTGGCAGAGAGATAATGAGATGGTTTACAATAAGCAAGACTAGATTTTTAAATTGAAAAAAAAAAATAGATTAAGAAACCAACCAAATCAAGTACCTAACAAAATCTGAGGCATTCACATGTAACTCCAAGAGTGGAGAGATCGGATGCGTCGGCATTGGTAAAAGTCTTTTGTTGTACATGCATCACCCGCTATCATAAAACAGGTCGTTGGTTTTACCGTTGAATGCTTTCATATTTTGACTTGTAAGTATCTTTTAAAGCTTACTATTTGATACGGGATTTTCCTGATTGTTGAAGGTATAATGGTGACCTATAGTTGCTAACACAAAACTTAATGGCTAAACAAAGAAAAAGAAGGAAACATTTTCGTTGAACATGTTGAAAGGAAGTCTTTGTTCAATGAATTCTTAAAATAAAGAAGACGTTATTTTGTAATCATGCGTATCGACTTCCTCATACAGAGGTTATTTTACTTTGCTATATTACGTACCGACTTTAAATAAAACTGTTATCCGTAGGTATAACTTAAATAAGAAGTTGATTTCTGTGAGTGTGTGCAAGTCAGAATGTGGACACCGAACGATATTGAGTTGTTACCTAACGAAGAAAGAAGCGATGACGAAAGACGGTTACATGTAGAGGGCAATATGTGGTCCAATGGTATAAATGTCCTTCACGCAGAGAGCATACAAGTTGCTAATTCTAATGTTGACCAAAGTGAGCAAGTACAAAGACAAACTACTTTATGTGGAGTTGGCTGGGATATAAAGCACACAATTCTTGTCATTTTAGTTATATCATCCATTCTTATTATGATAACTACTTTTTCTGTTGTTTTATCTAAATGTTCACAGGTAAGAATATTAACCATAAGATATAATTTATCCGTATGTTTAGCTTTGTAGTAGTAAATCGCAGTTTTAATAGTCTGCAAATAGACTGTTTTATGTTTTGGGAAGCAGAGTTTTAGCGGTTTTGTTATTTTTATCTAACAACACAAGTAATGATAAATACTGGCGCATTTGTAGATAATTATATATTGAGCAACAAAATGTTAAAACGACCTATAGAATGCTTTAATGTAATATTCCCTACTGCCGAACTTCACCTATAGAAAATATCATTTGAAGTATCAACGGCGAGTGTCTTAGCGTGTATAAGTGCATTGACAACAATTCTACACGCAAATAGGGGAAAATGGAATTTACCTTCGATATAAAATTGTTCATTCCGTTTTTGTGTTGTTCTTCCGAAATAATTTTAGGATAAGCATAATTATGTTTTGGACATGTTGTCATTTGTTTAAACTTTTCTTGCACATCTTTTGTATGTTGAATTAATGATAAATACTAATGTTGTATTCAGCAATAGATAAATGTATTAGACCTACTAAGCATTGAAATTGCAAGAATACTATCCGAGGGTGCAGTTAAAGTGAAAGGTCCGAAGGGCAGTACACAATTACCTCAGCTGAGGCTATTATATCGCATAGAAATGCTAAGTAACATTATTGTTAGCATGCTCTCAATATTTAAGCTAACTATTATAAACTTAAACCCAAAATATCCATTATTTGAACTTAACCATGACACCGAAGAAAATTTCTTTAATTTTCTTAGGCTTCTTGAACATACTATTGATTGACGGATTGAACAACTACTATAAAAAAATAGCTGTACTAACTATCAGACAATTGAACGCTTATGGTAACTTTTTGCTGACACAAAGAATCTTATTGAATGTATATATATATAAGAAAAAAACACTACCACAGAAAAAGTAATACTTTAAAAGTTGAACTTCAAATGGATATAATGTTACACGGGTAACCACACATGGTTTCAATTTGGTTTTGTGAAATGATTCTCGTCGTTTTATTTTCTATCGTAAATACTTTGTGATCAGGTGAACTTTATGAACTAACTTCGATATTCATATCATGTTGTTTTTTGTGATTATTTTTTTGGGAAAGTGTAATATCTTGAACTGCACTGGATTGGACTGTAGACTGGACTGTAGACTGGACTGTAAACATGACTGTAGACAAAACTGGACTGTGGACCGGACTGGACTGGACACAATTCTTTATGTGATTGTCCAACATCAAGAGCTAGTTATTCAGTGGTTGTAATTGATTGCTGTCTTTAGTATTTGTTTTTCGTTTATTTGTATGTCCTACATTAAGGCAACAGTAGTTTATTGATTTTTAAATTAAAAAAAAATAGATTAAGAAACCAAATCAGGTACCTAACAAAAACTGAGGCATTCACATGTAACTCCAAGAGTGGAGAGATCGGATGCGTCGGCATTGGTAAAAGTCTTTTGTTGTACATGCATCACCCGCTATCATAAAATAGGTCGTTGGTTTTACCGTTGAATGCTTTCATATTTTGACTTGTAAGTATCTTTAAAAGCTTACTATTTGATACGAGGTTTTCCTGATTGTTGAAGGTATAATGGTGACCTATAGTTGCTAACACAAAACTTAATGGCTAAACAAAGAAAAAGAAGGAAACATTTTTTTTTTTAATTTTAGTCGTTGAACATGTTGAAAGGAAGACTTTGTTCAATGAATTCTTAAAATAAAGAAGACGTAATTTGGTAATCATGCGTATCGACTTCCTCATACAGAGGTTATTTTACTTTGCTATATTACGTACCGACTTTAAATAAAACTGTTATCCGTAGGTATAACTTAAATTAGAAGTTGATTTCTGTGAGTGTGTGCAAGTCAGAATGTGGACACCGAACGATATTGAGTTGTTACCTAACGAAGAAAGAAGCGATGACGAAAGACGGTTACATGTAGAGGGCAATATGTGGTCCAATGGTATAAATGTCCTTCACGCAGAGAGCATACAAGTTGCTAATTCTAATGTTGACCAAAGTGAGCAAGTACAAAGACAAACTACTTTATGTGGAGTTGGCTGGGATATAAAGCACACAATTCTTGTCATTTTAGTTATATCATCCATTCTTATTATGATAACTACTTTTTCTGTTGTTTTTTCTAAATGTTCACAGGTAAGAATATTAACCATAAGATATAATTTATTCGTATGTTTAGCTTTGTAGTAGTAAATCGCAGTTTTAATAGTCTGCAAATAGACTGTTTTATGTTTTGGGAAGCAGAGTTTTAGCGGTTTTGTTATTTTTATCTAACAACACAAGTAATGATAAATACTGGCGCATTTGTAGATAATTATATATTGAGCAACAAAATGTTAAAACGACCTATAGAATGCTTTAATGTAATATTCCCTACTGCCGAACTTCACCTATAGAAAATATCATTTGAAGTATCAACGGCGAGTGTCTTAGCGTGTATAAGTGCATTGACAACAATTCTACACGCAAATAGGGGAAAATGGAATTTACCTTCGATATAAAATTGTTCATTCCGTTTTTGTGTTGTTCTTCCGAAATAATTTTAGGATAAGCATAATTTATGTTTTGGACATGTTGTCATTTGTTTAAACTTTTCTTGCACATCTTTTGTATGTTGAATTAATGATAAATACTAATGTTGTATTCAGCAATAGATAAATGTATTAGACCTACTAAGCATTGAAATTGCAAGAATACTATCCGAGGGTGCAGTTAAAGTGCAAGGTCCGAAGGGCAGTACACAATTACCTCAGCTGAGGCTATTATATCGCAAAGAAATGCTAAGTAACATTATTGTTAGCATGCTCTCAATATTTAAGCTAACTATTATAAACTTAAATCCAAAATATCCATTATTTGAACTTAACCATGACACCGAAAAAAATTTCTTTAATTTTCTTAGGCTTCTTGAACATACTATTGATTGACGGATTGAACAACTACTATAAAAAATAGCTGTACTAACTATCAGACAATTGAACGCTTATGGTAACTTTTTGCTGACACAAAGAATCTTATTGAATGTATATATATATAAGAAAAAAACACTACCACAGAAAAAGTAATACTTTAAAAGTTGAACTTCAAATGGATATAATGTTACACGGGTAACCACACATGGTTTCAATTTGGTTTTGTGAAATGATTCTCGTCGTTTTATTTTCTATCATAAATACTTTGTGATCAGGTGAACTTTATGAACTAACTTCGATATTCATATCATGTTGTTTTTTGTGATTATTTTTTTGGGAAAGTGTAATATCTTGAACTGCACTGGATTGGACTGTAGACTGGACTGTAGACTGGACTGTAAACATGACTGTAGACAAAACTGAACTGTGGACCGGACTGGACTGGACACAAATTCTTTATGTGATTGTCCAACATCAAGAGCTAGTTATTCAGTGGTTGTAATTGATTGCTGTCTTTAGTATTTGTTTTTCGTTTATTTGTATGTCCTACAATAAGGCAACAGTAGTTTATTGATTTTTAAATTAAAAAAAAATAGATTAAGAAACCAAATCAGGTACCTAACAAAAACTGAGGCATTCACATGTAACTCCAAGAGTGGAGAGATCGGATGCGTCGGCATTGGTAAAAGTCTTTTGTTGTACATGCATCACCCGCTATCATAAAATAGGTCGTTGGTTTTACCGTTGAATGCTTTCATATTTTGACTTGTAAGTATCTTTAAAAGCTTACTATTTGATACGAGGTTTTCCTGATTGTTGAAGGTATAATGGTGACCTATAGTTGCTAACACAAAACTTAATGGCTAAACAAAGAAAAAGAAGGAAACATTTTTTTTTTTAATTTTAGTCGTTGAACATGTTGAAAGGAAGACTTTGTTCAATGAATTCTTAAAATAAAGAAGACGTAATTTGGTAATCATGCGTATCGACTTCCTCATACAGAGGTTATTTTACTTTGCTATATTACGTACCGACTTTAAATAAAACTGTTATCCGTAGGTATAACTTAAATTAGAAGTTGATTTCTGTGAGTGTGTGCAAGTCAGAATGTGGACACCGAACGATATCGAGTTGTTACCTAACGAAGAAAGAAGCGATGACGAAAGACGGTTACATGTAGAGGGCAATATGTGGTCCAATGGTATAAATGTCCTTCACGCAGAGAGCATACAAGTTGCTAATTCTAATGTTGACCAAAGTGAGCAAGTACAAAGACAAACTACTTTATGTGGAGTTGGCTGGGATATAAAGCACACAATTCTTGTCATTTTAGTTATATCATCCATTCTTATTATGATAACTACTTTTTCTGTTGTTTTATCTAAATGTTCACAGGTAAGAATATTAACCATAAGATATAATTTATTCGTATGTTTAGCTTTGTAGTAGTAAATCGCAGTTTTAATAGTCTGCAAATAGACTGTTTTATGTTTTGGGAAGCAGAGTTTTAGCGGTTTTGTTATTTTTATCTAACAACACAAGTAATGATAAATACTGGCGCATTTGTAGATAATTATATATTGAGCAACAAAATGTTAAAACGACCTATAGAATGCTTTAATGTAATATTCCCTACTGCCGAACTTCACCTATAGAAAATATCATTTGAAGTATCAACGGCGAGTGTCTTAGCGTGTATAAGTGCATTGACAACAATTCTACACGCAAATAGGGGAAAATGGAATTTACCTTCGATATAAAATTGTTCATTCCGTTTTTGTGTTGTTCTTCCGAAATAATTTTAGGATAAGCATAATTTATGTTTTGGACATGTTGTCATTTGTTTAAACTTTTCTTGCACATCTTTTGTATGTTGAATTAATGATAAATACTAATGTTGTATTCAGCAATAGATAAATGTATTAGACCTACTAAGCATTGAAATTGCAAGAATACTATCCGAGGGTGCAGTTAAAGTGCAAGGTCCGAAGGGCAGTACACAATTACCTCAGCTGAGGCTATTATATCGCATAGAAATGCTAAGTAACATTATT